GCTGTTGGTAGCAATCAATGATAACAGTGGTGGGTTGAAGTTACAAGTATGGAACAATCAGCTAAATGAAGTAGAAGATGGGGGGTCATATGTGATAACAGACGTGTCAACAAGGCTTGTCAGTGGAGAAGTGCTACTTACAACAACACGATTGAGCACAATTACCAAAATGCAGGATTTGGAACTTATGTCTAATTACGAGCGAGTCAGCCTCTTGCCTGCAACAACAGCAGTTAAAGGTCAAAATAACTGCAGCAGGCATTCATCTAAAGTGGAGATGTAGAATATGCAAGCAAAGCCATTTGAATGGCTTACCCTTTATGTTTGAATAAACATAAAGGGTATGTTTCACAGATGCAGTAACTGCAGTCGAAAACAACTCTGAATATGAAAAAAACAGCAAGTGGAATTGGTAAAGTAAAGCAGAGCATTACTCAAGTTGATTTTAAGATTTTGCACAAAGCTGTGGTGTCATGTCTGCATCAAATGAAGAAAGCAAGCGCACTCTCTAATAGAGACATGCTTGAAGAGCTGTTACTGGAAGAATCTGTACATGAGCTGATCATTGACAGTGAGGATTTAATCATTGATCTCAATCGTTCTTCTGCTGATACATTTCAAGAAGATGCTATGATGGAAGCTTCTACATCTATGCAGGGTTCTAAAGTTCCTCTTGAATCCTCGAGTTCTGGTTGCATTGTGTCAGTTGGAGAAAAAAAAATATCACAGGAGTATCTACACCTGGCCAATGTTGTCCTATTCCTGTATGTTCCTCTGGTTCTACATACCCTGAAACAACACAGCACAACAGTATAATAGGAGCCTGCACCCCAAGCCTTTTGCCTGGTTCTGTAGTTTCTCCTAGTGTACTCCTTCAGTCTGAAGCTAAGGCTATTGAAGTTGAAGCCTTTCTTGAATTAGATTTAGAAAACAAGTCTGCAGAGTGCATTTGATGTCATCTTGGCATTTGGTCTTTTAAATCTGCAGATTTGTAGATTTTAGGCATTAAACCATGGAGAGCAGTTCCTGCTGAAATGATGAGCATTCACTACAGTGAAAATGTGAAATGCAGTGGAGACATGACAGTTTTTCCGTGGTGATATTCACATTGTGTCAACATGAACACAATGTCCAGTATATTGTGTTGTCAGTTCATATCTTTACTAAAAATAGTGTACGAAAATTTGGATTTCAGAAACTGAGGTTCTGGATTTATTTTGGATTATATTCATGTCTATCCTGAAATGTAATTAAGGCAGTGCTATTGCTTTCAATATCTTGCAGTAATTCAAACAATGTCAAATTAGTGTAAGGTTTTTAGTTTTTGTTTTTTATTTTGGCACTGATTTTGCATGTGAGTTATGGAAAAGTGAAATGTTTTTCAGTGAGGAAAGTCCATTTGAAATATTGCAGTGTGGAAAGCAGTGATGTGCCGCCAGTACATTTTAAGGTGGATTGTATTCCACTGTGACAAATTTAGCATTGTTTTAAAAAGCAAATGTTTATACTTCTCAGTAATGAGGTCAAGCTTTGTGAAAAACAATAGTACATGTTGTGTTTCTTTTTTAAGCAGGTATTCTATCACTATGGAATTTTGTCATGTTTGCATTGCATTTCTGTTATTTACAGATGTGACTGTTTTTTTTCCCATGTGGCATTAATAGCTCTTCATGCAGTGTTGGGTTTTAAAGAAAAGGAAATGTTGTTGAAGTGAACTTTTATTGGAAAATCAATGTGTTTACATGAACACAATAATTTGATCAGAAAGGGATTTGTGCAGTTATTTGATTATTCAAATGGTGTTGTAAACAGCATACTTCAGTTTCTTAAATTGGCATAATGTCTAGAAATCTGATTAACTAATCCAATAAAGAGAGAAACGATTTCAGTCCAGTAATCAGATTTCTTGGTATATGTATACTTTTACCCAGATTTTTTTTTTAAGATTTATCAGTCTGTGGAAAAAAAAAAAAAATAGCTTTCAGTACCAGAACTATGTAAGCAGTATTGCTGCATTATGGCATCCAAACATGTTTGGAGCAATGCTGAAGAGCTGTTTGCTTTTTTTAATCTGTAGATTGGTAGATTTTTGGCATAAAACTATGGAGACCAATGCATTTTAGAAACTGAGATTCTGGATTTATGTTTGAAAGCAGTTATTAGTACATTTTAAGATGGATATATTGTGAACCACTTAACTGCTCTCTGTTCAACAGATACTAAATTTTAGTTGCATTATTCATGTAAAAAAGGTACTGCAAAATAAAGTGTTACCTAAGACTCTTCCTCTAGATGGCAGAATAGAACTGAGTGTTTTATGATGCAGCTGTGAAAAGGTGAGAGTGCTGTCCAAGGTGCTGTTCTGAGCTACTTACCTTTTGTTTTCTATCAGTAAATCATGATCGAGATGATTTGTTTTGTTCAGTTAAAGTTCTTCCAATAAAGTTATTAAACTAGTGTTAATCCCTTCATCATGATCCAGTCTGAGTGAACATAAGATTAAGATGTTGATTAAGATTAAGGAAGGTGTATTGAACTGTGTTTGTGGATGTTTGTTCTAAGGTTGTCTGTCTCTTTGTTGTTCATGTTTCTCTATGATATCTGTGAGCTCAGTGTTTCTGGAGCTTTGTGTTTATTTGGAGATAAACTTGATTGTCTGAGTCTGTCACTTCAAGAAGATATGATGATCCCTTTATTTTAGCTTTTAAACTCAGAGTTCCTGCTAAGGTGTAAAAATACAGAAGTTCTTTTGCTTCTTTGTACTTACTTTAACTCCATTGAGAGACTAAACTCTACAGAGAATTTCATTTTAGTACTTTTTTCTTTGCTTTATAATGCCAAACTGTTAAAGATGCATATTTGAATATCTTTAATTTTTATATCAAAATATCTGTTAAAATATCTGTAAAATGATTGATTCTTTCTTTGTAAATATGAACATATCTGTATGATTCAGTGCAGAGCGTCTTTTCTTTCTGACGAGTATGAAATGCTAAGAGCTGAAAATCATCCTGATATAAATGTTGTGTTTCAGCTCTTATACTCAGTATGTTAAGCTCAGTGTGAGGCTGTTAGTGATCTGCATTGTGTTCTCTCACCACATTCACATGCTGGGTGGAGCTCAGCTCTGCATCTCTGTATGTTTATGATGATATATTAAAATATGAAGCCTTGTAAAAGGGTTCTGTATTAATTACTCATTTTTGCAGATGTAACTGATTTATTGATTTACCAGCATCCTTATTAGCTTTTGCATGTGCTTAAGCTTCTCCCATAGAAACAATTGAAAATGATCTCTTATATAAGCAGAAGACAAAGTTTACATACAAGTTAAGTATTTTTAGCAAATGTTCTTTTAAAAAAAGTGTTTTATTTGAATTCATCAGCATTTCAAATCTCTATTTTCTCTTAACTATAATAAAATTGTGTGTGCCTGAACCTGAACATTGAAACAGATTAAGCTCCTATTTTCACACATTTTGTGAATAATTGCTTTCATTACTAAAAAGCTTTTCTTTAGATCTGTGGAGTATTGTGTGTATTTTTTGTTTTCTCAAGTTGTGTAACCGTCAGTTTATTAACAATCAGGCTAGCAGAGTAAAAGTACTGGAGCTGTATCATCAGTCAGTTATAACATATGGAGTAGTTTCATATATGAATCTCAGTGTGAACATAAACTGAAAGTTGGGGTGTTGATATATAAAACATTCCATGTTATTGGTTTGGCTTATAAACAGTTTCTTTGCATTTTTGGAGGAGTTGAAAATGGAAATGCATCAAGTTGCTGTTAATGTTGACACTTATATTGGTTTGATCCCTCAATCAAAAAGACACTGCATAGTCACTTCAGTGAGAACTTGTAAATAACGGTATTACGATGTGCAGCAGATCATTAACTCTGTTGTTCAGATGAACTGATGGTGTTTATTCTATCAGCTGGGTAACACTGTACTGAGATCAGCACTGATAAACACACCAGTGATCATTACTTTTATTATTATTATTTTTTTTTAAATTTTCACTGATAGTACAGAAACATCTCAGACACTCTTTCTGCTGCTAAGAACGTCACATGTATCCTATAAGAGGAAGCAAAGTGCAACAATAAAATGCGTTAACCACATGTTTATCATCTCTGCTGTCTCTGTTCTCACTATTCATCGTTTGGACATTGGAGACTCATTACAGAACAGTGAGATATTTTCTTTATTTCAGAATATTGTTCATCAGTACTTTATCAATAACATCATAGCTTACAGTACACTGTACCCTGTAAAAATCAGTTACATTCAATTTTACTCTCATTATACAGTATACAGGGTACAGTATAACAACATGCTTGGGCTACTTCTATGGTAAATAAACATTAAGCCAAGGACACGAGTTGGGATACTATTGGGATAAACACACACACACACACACACACACACACACACACACACACACACACTCACACACACAATGAGTACAAAAACAATAAATAAGCAATAAATCCAAAACGTTCAGACTCTGCTCCCCTTCCTGAAATCAACAATCATCTATTTGGTTTTGCTTAAATTGAAGGAGAGACTGTTGTTGGTGCACCACTCTGTGAGAAGTTTCACCTCCTCTCTCTACTCCTCCATGTTATTATTCATGAGGTCCACTACTGTTGTATCATCAGCAAACTTCATGATGGAGTTGGAGTTGTGCTTGGAGATGCAGGTTGGTGTACAGGGTATACAGCATGTGTGATCAGACACAGCCTTGATGTTTTATTACAGTTTCTGCACAGCAGTCATTAAAAGGCTTTTTTCCCCCCAAAGGAATGAGTGGCAGAACGTTCTGAAAATTCGAATTGATACAAATGATGTCACAATGGAAACCTCTCACAATTACTCTCTTATTCACCCTATTTTCCATGACAACAGAGGTGGGGCCATCTTTGTTTACTTTGTGTTAGAACTTCCCCTGCGACTGCTGTTCCATTGATTATCATTAGACCACAGAGATAAGAGATTATGAGTAGTGTAATATGCTCAGTTAGAGGGCGTCACAATAACTGGAAGAAGAGGCATATTTTGCTTGAACAGCAGTGTTACGAACACAACAACAAACAGTCAGAGTGTTATGGGGTACCATATAACTCACCTCCACCACCTTCCAAAGAAGAGGACCTGCGTCTGTGGCCAAAGTCGCTACGTTTAAAACCTCCACATGTCTGCTCTTACCATTTTGTGGAGGAGAAACCAACACCAGAACATCCTTTCCCAGAGAAATGGCTCGGTTATGAAGCTCCAGTGAAGCGGACACGTCGGGTGCTTGTGAGACTGTCAGGTAAGACATTAACCTAAGTCAAATAGCTTGTTATGATCAGTGTCCACAGCAGTAACTGAGCTACTCCAGACTTTATTCACGTTATGAGAGGAAGGCAAACTTCAGACTATGCTTCACCTGTTTGCTCTTTGAGGATCAAACCCCTTTGGAAAACTTCTGTACAGCTTAGAACTGTTTCTTGTTTAAGCCTTCTTTTGGTTTTTACGTAGTTTTGGGTTAATTTCTCTCTTTTTTTATTTTTTCCAGCCTTCTTTCCTTTTCTTTTTGTTTAAATGCCCACCTGGGCTGCATACCATACCGGTCACCCCTCAACAAAAGTGTGACAAAGGGCTGCTGTTTGTCACAGCCTTAAGTAGAGGAGTCCACAGGTGTGTCAGGTTGGGCCTAATCAGCCCAAAGGATTCTGGGAATTGGAGTTCCTAGAACGTATGGCACCTCGCGCCAACGCCCTCTGTGGGCATCATCAGGCAATTATTACAGATGGAGTAGTTTTATACATAAATCTCAGTGTAACTACAGCAAAGTGAAAGTTGTGGTGTTCAATATTAAGAATTCTCTTTTATTGCTGTGGCTTATAAACAGTTTTGTTAGTATTTATGTGGTAAAAAGGGAAATACATTAGGTTACAGTGACATTTAGGCAACAGTTTACTGCTGAAGTAAACACTCATGTTCACTTGATTCCTCATCTGTCATCTCATTTAAAAAATAATAATAATTTCTGATAATGTAGTAATAACATGGCCTTTTGAGATTCATCCAGCCTACAGTGCATGACCAACTTAAGATAGTGTGTTCACAATGATACTGGAACGTGCAGCAGATTAACTCACTCTGTTCTTCAGATGATCTGATGATGTTTATTCTTTCAAGTGGGTAACACTGTACTGAGATCAGCCCTGATAAACAGACCAGTGATCATTACTGCTTCATACAGTAGCAGGAGAAGAGGAGGAACTGGATAAAGTCCTATATCATTTTATGTAATTTTAAAGAACTTTAATAGACATGTAAAACAAAAAGAGGTCACAGTGTCACTGAAAGATAATTTATACCTTATAGAAGGTTAAGATAAAGATCTCTTACTGCAGCTAAGAATGTCACATGCATCCTATGACAGAAAGATGCAAATTAAGTCTGTATATTTCAACTGAGCGCAGTAGCTTACAGTTAAACATGTTAAACACACCTAGTTTTACATCTCAGTTCTGTTTCTGTTCTCACCATTTATCATTTGGACGTTGAAGATGAGCCTTGTTAAAGAACTGTAAGATGTTTTCTTTACTTCAGCATATTTTCATAGTGTATGAGAAACATTGTCTATAGTACATATTTGGGTATCTGTGTGTAGATTGATGTTTCTATTGTTCCAGTTTCAAGGAAGTTTCATTTAACTTTATTGTTTCATGAAGAATTGTTTTGGGGAAAACATTTTGGGGAATTTCATAAGCATCATGTGTGTTCATATGATGCTTAAGAAATAATAATAAAAAAAAAACAAATATTCGACAAACAAAATGCATTTCATGTCCTGTTATCACCTGAAGAACAAAATGTGGTGCCTTATATCTACACTGTGCGGGCAGAATAGCAGAAGATGCTCAGTATAGACCTACAACTGTGAAGAACCTGCTGGGAATAAATACTCGCTTTAAAGGCTGTTTTTAAAACGTAGTAAGTTTTTGTTCTTCAGAGTCAAGTTACCATAACTTAAAGTTATGAAGAAAAATATAACTGATTCAATAAGACACAGACTTCATTAAAGTGTCAGCATTTAAAGTTTTGCACTTCTTAAGGAATTTGGATGAAGATCTGGAAACATTTTGTTCATAAATGTCATTATGTAAAATATCCTCCAGGCTGCTGTCATGAGATCATTGAGAATGGCTCCTCCTCTTCATTTCATGTTTCTGCTCATGACTGTTGGTGAGTCAGTGTTTGTTGTGGTTTGTGGTTTCTCTCAGAATCAGCTCAGTGTTGTAGAGTAGCTGCTGGAGTTAGAGAGGAGAGAAGTGAAGCTGTAAGCTACAGTAACTCTGACTGTCGTATGGGCTCCAGACTCTGTAATCAGCTCTTTCATGCATCATATGTTTCAGGAGCTTTTGGAACAGAGTGGAGTGTGAAGTACAACCAACAGGAAATATGTGCTTTAAAAGGATCCACAGTGTTTATGAATGGAACTTATACTCACCCAGAACATCTTACAGTGAAAGAGACTTTCTGGACTGTAGACCTAGATAAGAAGCCTGATCTGAGTAAAGACCCAGATTATTCAGGCAGAGTCGATAATTTAACTGATGAACAGAAACACTTCTCCCTCAAACTGAGTGATGTAATGAAGAAGGATGAGCATCAGTACTACTTCAGAATCAAAACAAATGTAGAATATGAAAAATGGGTGGGTTTACCTGGAGTTCAGCTCAGAGTTACAGGTGAGTTAATCATCCCATTGTCCAGCTATAAGACACAGTTCTGGTTTCAGACTAATGTTTCTTATTCATGACTGCTCTGAATATCCATGTTATTTTTTCATCACTGATTTTATTAATCTGCTCTAATGATGTTCAGCTTCTATTCTGATTCACTCCTAGATCATTTTATCTGTTCTTTCACCTGATTCAGTTTGTCTGCTCAATTTCTTTTTGATACTATCACTGTCAAATCAAAGAATAATTATTAATCTTTTAAGATTATAGGCTTATTCTTTAGTCACTGATTTTAAGAACAATCATTCAGTTTTGAACATTAAGAGCAATTATTTTCAATAACATTAATAATTTTGTGTGCACTTATTTAAAAAATGCTTTATATATACATTCCATTTAAGATACAGTGGTGTGAAAAAGTGTTTGCCCCTTCCTGATTTCTTATTCTTTTGCATGTTTATCACACTTAAATGTTTCAAATCACCAAACAAATTTAAATATTAGACAAAGATAACACAAACAAAACACAAAATGCAGTTTATAAATGATGGTCTTTATTATTAAGGGAAAAATAAATCCGAACCTACAGGGCCCTGTGTGAAAAAGTAATCAGGAAGGGGGCTAACGTTTTTTCACACCACTGTATTTAGCTTTATACTATTAATGTACAAAATAATGTCTTTCACAAAATACAAAACATGGCTAATGTAGTAAAGCATACTATATATATATATATATATATATATATATATATATATATATATATATAGTACTACTAGTTTAGTACAGTAGAAGCTCTTTTACTGCAATATCACTCAAGCAGCCAGTGTTTTATCAAATTTATCACACTAACTAATCACATCACTTTACTATCTGAAAAAAAAGCTCACTTTTTCACTTCTTTTAATCATAACAAATATAAAGATATTTAGTCTTTGGCCAGTAGGGGGAGCAATTGTCCTGATACTTAATCCTAAACACTACCAATGGCTCATGAGCTGCTGAATATTATTTTTTTATTAGCTCACTTTCAAAAAAATCTGCAGGAATTTTTACCTTTCATGTAAGTTATTTGTTTCTGAGAGCCTAATGGGGCATGGCCTGTTGCAAATTATTTATGAATAAAGGACTCTCTTGTTTCACTGCACTGAAGATGATTATCAATTGTGCACAAATCACTGCTTGTTTTGTGTGTGTACAGCAGTTTCCTGAATCAGAAGCAGAGAACATCAAACTTCATTCAGTTTAGTTAAACCTGCACTCGTTTCTACACTCGTTTCTAACTTCGATGAATAAGGTTAACTGTCTTTACAGCTTTTCTCTCCTGATCTGATGGTCCTCTTATTGTCTTAGAGATCCATGTAGAAACTCCTGAAGAAGTGACAGAGGGAGAAACAGCAGATCTGACATGTAAAACCACCTGCAGTCTGACTGACCCAACATTCATCTGGTACAAAAACGGACATCCTTTAACCACAAAGACCATCAAGAACAACCAGCTCCACCTGCAGCCAGTCAGCAGTGAGGATGCAGGCAGTTATAGCTGTGCTGTAAGAGGATATCAACATCTCCACTCTACTGCTCACAACCTCAGAGTCAGATGTAAGTCATATCATTTTTATTATTCCCAAAGTAAATCAAAGTAGACCTGTGTAATCTTACTATGCCTCAAATCTTTCCTTTTTCTACCCAATTTGCTACAGTTTTTGTCATTTCAGATCAGCTCTTGAAAAACATCTGTCCTTCTCATCACATGGAGATCATTCAGTCCTAGACCTCAACAATTTCTGAGTTCATCCTGGAGTTTTTGGGGTCTAGTCTTCTAGCTACAGGCAGAAGCTGCCCAGAAATCCAGTCATCCACCACATGTTAAAGGCATAGTCTGAACTCCCAAAATGTAGTTTTGTTATAACTTATAAATTCACATCCTCATCTTTGGTTCCTGTGACAAATGTTCGCAATCCCCACCACCACCCCATTTCCTCCATGTTCCTCAATCCTACATCAGTCCCACTACAGATATTGGGGGGTGGGGGGGGTTTGGTGGCTGGCCTTCTAAATACAGGTAGAAGCTTCCTAGAACTCCAGCCCAGGTTCTCAGAATTCTCGCCCTCTCTCCCTCAATTAGTCTTCCCTCATACTACCACCATGGTGAAGGCATGGACTGAACTCATAAAATAATATTAGTACTATATAATACAATTCAGGTAAGTTGGCCACAATCCGAATGACCTTATATAATATAAGGTCACTAGTAGGTGACAGTTTCACTTGCAGTCTGTATTAATTTAACATTTGAGAACCATAGGAAAAAAATAAAAATAAAAAATTGAACACTTCAAGAAAGTGTTTGTGAGATAAGAGACTTTTCTGCCACATTTTTAGAACATTAGACATTTAAACTGTTCTCCATGAATGCTTCACTCTCAGGATGATGTCCTCTACAGCACTGTTACACACAGTCCTGTAGAGGCTGCTGCTTCTGCTGACTCTGGAGCTGCTGATGTTCTTAATGCAACAGTCGGGATTCAGAATGATGATGTGACCAGCACTGACCAGCAGGAGGAGCCCCAATATGCCAGTCTTACATTCCTCCACCGAACTGCTGCCACTGGGTGAGTTCTACTGAGCTTTTATATAAAGCTGCCCAGAGAAACTTTTTTTGGAAAAGAAAAAAAAATTAAGGCTTAGAAACAAAATATTTCTCTTATGCACATTTATGAGGTTTCCCGTGTTGCATTAGCACCAATCTTGCAGTAGTGTGCAGTGTGCATTCCAGTTCCCAAATTTTCCCTTGCTTGGTTAATGAAATCTTATATTAGAAATGTTTAACTTTAGTTACCAGTTAGATTATCCAGTTATTAGCTTGATACACTTGTTTACAGCTATTTTCTTGAGAAGACATGATAAAGGGATGATAATTCTAAACTAAAATGATGTAGCATAATATTATGATAAAATATGTACAAAGGTATTGTGTTTATTTCTTGCTAGCTATGGTTTAATATCAGCTGAACTCAGCACTGTGACCAGTTTAACAGTGTTAGAAAAAGCATTTAGATTTACAGTGAAATTTCAGAGGCAGAACTTTGTTTCAGGTGCAGCTGCTGTTTTGTCAGCAAAAGGTCTCTGAACTGTTTGAATAATTCAGGTCTCATCTCAGCATCATCTGCTGGACAAAAAATGTGTTTGTGTTGTTAAATAAATGTAGTGTAGTGGAGAACATGTTTATTAAAGATGGGAAAGTGTGAAGCTGTGGTTTGTTCTTATAAACGTATTTTGATCTTCTGTTACTTAGAGGTTAAATGTTAAAGTTCCAATTTCTTTGTTTTGTAGGTCACCAACTCAGAATGTGGAAGATTCCTCAGTGATTTACAACACAGTAAGAAAAGATTGGATCTGCTGAGAACTGCTATACAGAGAGAGAGAGAGAGAGAGAGAGAGAGAGAGAGAGAATTGGTATGGATGAACTCTTGAAGCGTTGAGCTATTCTTTGTTGTCACTGTGCATGAAATTGTCAGTAGTAAAGAGGATTAAAGCTTTACAGTTTAATATTGTTTCTTTTTTTTCACTTTTAATAAATATCAAATCATTAGTTGGATTAGATGTATTTGAAACCCAAATCTCCATTCATCTCCATTTATCTGTTTTATCTTTTCTTAAATTATGCAGTATGCGGTGTCTTTTTTTAGTAACGTTTCTTGTCACTGTGGCTTATTGGTAACTTTTTTTCTGCATAAGTATTAAATCCTAATTTGACTTTTGAGATATGAACTCTGAAGACATTGTCCTGTCCAAAGATTTCTGTGAATACAGATAATTTTGCTTAAAATAATGTAGCAGTTAATTTACTTCCATTTTGTAAACATTATCAAATTGAATGTACACCAAAATCCCAACAGAGCAAAGAGACATGCAAATGTGCCTCATGTTTGTTTTTTTTTTTTATGTGAGTAAAAATAATCAAATTGAAAATGTCAGAGGATGTAAAAATAATGCTAAAGGTCATTGATTCTCTACAGAAGACTCTACCAGATGTTGTACAGTGGAACTGAGCTTTGCAGGTTCTGCAGTGCTCTGGGTGAAGGTGGTGACTGCTGCATTAGCATTAGAGAGAGTGGAGAGTTAGAGTTCATTAATCCGAGTGATCAGTGTTCTGAACACACAGCAGCCTCTGAACAATGAGAAAATCAACAATGAGTTTCATTAATTAGAACATGTACAGCTTTACATCCAACACAACCTGGAATAAGAATAATTTGGAATATGAATGAAAGGCTGCAAAAAAGTATGAATCTATGTTGTGATTTTAGTAGAGATGGAGTATCAGTATTAATATCAGCACTGGACCTAATATAAGAAGATTATGCTGATGTTCATACTGGATAAAAAGAGCAAACGAGTCTGATAAAATCTATCCACACTCACTTTCTGTAATGTCATGTTGTTAACTGTGTATTTCTTCAAAATTAAGAATGCTGCATGTTTTATTGGAAATCTTTACTCACCACAGTGAACATTAGACTGCTGAGAAATTTACTGTGATTTCGTACTTCAAAAGCAGACAAAATGTACAAAATGAATAAACATAGAAATAAAAGATAACAGGCATGTTCAGTGAAAGTAATATTATACAAATTATGCCACACTGCCAAACTGACATTTAGGACACAAGTATTTTAGAAATAGGAACCTCAAACATGTTAAACTTGGTGGGAAAAACAAGAAAGACATAGCTTAATTTCCGGCCTGAGAATGGCAGTGATGTACTCATGTCCTCACAAAAAAATGATAAAATGATACAAGCTTTAACTTGGATTTATCACATCCAGATTAAACCAGGCTTGAGATTAAGGCTTGATATTTTTTGGGTGGGTTAGACTCTGCTAGACTGAATCTGATCGGTTGGTGTTGGTGTTTAGTCTCTGGTAGACTGAAGCTGATTGGTTGCTGTTGGGTTTTAGGCTCTGAAAGACTGGATTGAATTGGTTGGTGTTGGGGTTCAGGCTTTGGCAGGCTGAATCTGATTGGTTGGTGTTGGGGTTTAGACTCTGGTAGACTGAATCTGATTGGTTGGTGTTGGGTTTAGGCTGTGATAGGCTGAATCTGATAGGTTGGTGTTGGAGTTTAGGCTCTTCTAGACTGAATCTGATTGGTTGGTGTTGGGGTTTAGGCTCTGCTAAACTGAATCTGATTGGTTGGTGTTGGGGTTTAGACTCTGATAGACTGAATCTGATAGGTTGGCATTGGAGTTTAGGCTCTGATAAACTGAATCTGATAGGTTGGTGTTGGGGTTGGGGCTCTGATAGACTGAATCTGATAGATTGGTGTTGGAGTTTAGGCTCTGGTAGACTGGGTTCGTTGTCATGGATTGTTGATTTCCAGGTGCGTCATTTTCATAATCAATTACATCCTATAAAATTTACCAAATATCATTACCAGTATAATGATCACATATTATATGTATTTCAAATATTCACTTTTGACTTACCGCGTTTCTTTCGGCATCTCTTTGAGTTGTAATTGAGCTTTGAACCTCTAAATGAAAAATCAATAAATAATAGTTTTGTTGTTGACATTGTCGTTGTTGTTGTTTGCTTATTTTTTGTATAGGAAAGGGCTAAAATACATCACAATATTATTTTCTGAGTATATCATGGAAATCATCAATACTGAAATAACATTGCCTACATGTTTCATGACAAAGAGAGCATAATAGCAGAGCATGTAAAATAGGGAACATTGTACTCAAATGTGGCAGATGAGAAACTGGCTAATGTACCTTGAGGCTTTCTGCATTTACAGAATAAGACCAAAACACCAAGTGCGATTCCTGAGACCAGCAGTGAAACACAGATATACAGAATCATGAAACCTGGAATCAGAGATTAAACAGAGTTCAAGTGCCAAGATTATAGATATTTAGCTGACCCTCCTAAAGCATTCCCAGCCAACATGTCCATCTGGGTCTCCCTCAGGGGTTAACAGTAGGCTGGCAGTTAGGACCCCTTTAGGCAACCCAGTTGGGCCCCACAATGATTAATTCATATGAAACCTTGTGCATATTAACCCATGTGGGCCACTAATGGAGCCAAAATTGGCTGCAAGTGGAGCTCTTATGGGCAAAATGGGCCATAAACCTGGGCCCCAGATATGTGATCACATGAATTACATTGGCCAACATGCAAATTTCTGATCTTTAGATTATCTTTAAATGGCACCAACCCTTCCACAATGTGTATTTGTCAACAGGCATCACTTTTCAATCACAGCATAATCAAACACAGAATGTCAAGTCAGTGTAGTTTCATTAGTGCACTTCACTAAAAATACAGAAGTAATCTTGTGATATTTCCATCTTAATAACAGTGTAGTAAACTACAACTCTTCTGTTTCAGATTTTATAAAAAAAGGAAAAACAGAAAAAAAAACTGTCAACTTTAAAGTGTGATTATTGTGATAAGTTACAACATTCAGTAAGGTATCTGCAAGTAGCAATATTTTTAGATTTTTTTAAAGTTGATTAAATATCTCAGAGCCAGTATTTTGATTAATTTCACCTTTTTGTTTCATAAATATATAATTGTGGCACATACAAATAATATGACTTGATAAATACAGATAACACTTTATATGCAGCCTTTGCTGCAAAAAAATGGTATTTTCCAACAATGGGTTTACAGTCACTTATCCACACTGAGCTTAAAGCTACTTTGGACAATCCTAGCTTTAAAATGAGCTGTCAAAGCTGATAAAATGCATCCAAATAACTTTTTTTGTATGTTGCAATTTTCAGTGAATTATTAAGCAAATAACTCTCTGGCTATCTGACAAATTGCATATTGCACAGCATATTCTTTATATATTTGTATTAAAACTCCAAATGAACCTGATTTTAATTAAATGTAATTTAATTGAGCTCCTTGCATCAACAAAATATAAATTATTAAAACATATACTTACTTACAGCTAAGAAAAACAATGTTAGACAACTAACTGCAGGAAAACTCAGCCAGTTGGAATCAGGCTGGAAAAGCAGAGACATTAGTAGACTATACATTATAATCAGGTTTAAGTTCTGCCATATTTGTGTTATATTCATAATTTTATGAAAAAAAAACATACAGGACATTATCATCTACCAGAAACAACAATGAATCAATCAATTATTGCAAATAGGGCCCATGTGAGACCCTCACATGGATAAGAATGGGAAGCTTAACTGGGCCAACCACTGTGACCCCAATGAGGTCCATGACTGTAGCCTAACTGTTAGCTCATGTTCATAACCCTCTACAAGCTCAGGCTCAGGTAAAACACACACAACCCAGTTAAAACCTACATCAGCCCCACATGGACAGGCTGGCTGAGTTAAATATTCTCAGTATTCCTCTGATTAAAGAACCATTTGACTAATTTTATTTGTTCATAAACTATGAACATTCATAAAAATGCTGCCAGTAAAGATTCTTGTGTTGGCAAGTCTCTAACATGATTGTGTTCTGCAGAAGCCAAGAATAAAGGGGTAGAAATAAATCTCACAGGGTGGGTAGAAAAAAGACCCAGATGAGATCAGTAGAGTTTTATAAACCTACTTGTATCAGGAGAAGGAGGC